AATACCCTAACTCTTTATGAGCTGAACTGAACTGAGCAAGGTAACTCAGTTTGACACTCCTAGTTATAGTTATGAGAATTAATTTTTATTCCAAATATGGTGTGGTGTAAACGGAAAGATCTTATAAAAAAATTCCTATATCAATTTTAAACGGAAAGATCTTATAGAGTTTTTCTTATAGGTGAAGTTATGATAATATACTATTAGTTCCAGATAAGGCTATTCATGAATTTGTGATATAAAGTATACATATTTTCACAAAAATATATATGATAATTTTTTGAACCACATACTATGATGTTTAAAAATTGACGACGATGATTCTAATTTGAAAATAAGATAACGTTTCATATTTGTTCAGATTTTTAAGTTTGTAGTACATGTTCATTAGGTAATCTCAAATGGCCTATGTATACTGTGTAGAATTGATTAGATCCACAATATCATCATAATTATAGAAATCATTTGATTAAAAACAAATTTATTTATAACAATGTAAAAGTGTTTATTTTTAATGTAAGTTGGATGGCTTATATATAATAGGGGAGGCATGTTTTCTGTTACGGCTTTGGTTTTTATATAAATTATGATTTATGTTTTGTTGATGAGTTTTTCAAGTGAAGATTCTGTGAAAATATATTTGCAAAGATTTTTTTTTTTGGTCAAGTATTTGCAAATATTTATTGGTGAAAAAAAACATGTCATAAAAAAGTTTATGTGACAAAGATTAGTATTTTGCCATGTCAAATTAGTATATTGCCATGCCATTCTTTTTTTGTGAAAATGAATGTGGAGATGACACATAAATAAACTCTCACAAATCATATCTCCAATAATGTATAAGGGATTTGTGAATTATATATTTATTTCAAAGTTTTAATTATTTTAAACATATATGTTTGTTCATTTTTAGAAAACAACTTTTATACACGTTTTGAACATCTATCTTTTTGTGGTTGTGCTTTTAATTCATTAAAAAAACCAAAAAAAAAAAATTTTTGGTCGAAAATAGATATTAATTAATTAAACCGGTAGATAGCCGGTACAATCCGATACAGAGATTTAAACTGATTTGGCTAAAAGATCAGCTTCGGTGTTTTCCGATCTAGGAACATATACAAAAGTAATTTTTAGATCTAAAAAAACCTTGATGATATCTGGGATAATCCCATAGATTTCAAGTTGAAATTGGTTTGAATTGATGAGGTTGACCAGATGTTGAGAATCTGAAGCCAGAATGAACCAAAAAAAAGTTTATTGAACCAAAACATAATAAAAAAAACTAAAATAAATCTATTAGACCACAAAATTAGATTTATCTTCTGCTCATGAGTTTTGATTGGATTGGAGCACCATATTCTGCTCATGACTCTAGGATACTGGCAATGGCACAACAAAGAAGTGAAACATCTACAAAACCTCCTAATATAAGTATTATTTTGTTGATTCTCGATAAGCGAATAAAATGGTTATTTGGCGTTTATCTTCTATATATTAATTGAGGAGACACTAAGGTAAAAATTCTATGTGTCACTCAATGAGGATTTCAAAGAACATGTAATTTAATTTAACCAATGAGAACATTTCAATTAAAATTATATGCTATGGTGGAAAAATCTACATTTTCTTATTAATTTTATAATATAAGCCTATTAATACATGTTTTACAAATCTAAGTTCAACTAAATATAATATTTAGACTTATTATATCATCTATTTTTAATTTTTATATATTAAAAACGTTTTTATTATATTTGTAACAATATTATTTATTGTGGATATATGTATTTAGATTAATATGATATATATAAATATTTTAATTATGACAGTCTATTATATAACTACACTTACAAATATTTACGTATTTCATTATTGGTAAACATATATTGTTTTCGTTTGTTATGTCCGACAAATTTTATATAAATCTAAACAACATTTTCATATGTTTTGATCATTTGCACATAAAAATATTAAAGCTAATGGTATCTAAATATGCTCGATCAAAATTTAAGTTTATTATATTTTGATAAATTTTGAGAAATACCACTTTTGAAATGTCACTTTTTCAAAATGCCATATTTTCAAAATCTTTGCAAAAATATCATTTTCCAAATTATTTACTCATTATATCATTTATGTTTGGGTTAACTATGTTATATTAGGGTTTAGTTTTGAGAGTTTAGGGTTTGTTAGAGGCTAAATTTTTTTTTT